ATTTCATAATTTTACAAGCTATGACTCTCAATTTAGATTTTGAGGGAAAAATTTTTGTTCTAGCGGAGAATATAGAACGTTATATTCTTATTATATATCCTTTACAAAAAATGTTGAGGGTTATGTTATTAGTTTACGTTTTATTGATTTGTTTCATTTTAAGCCTTCATCTCTAGATAAATCAGCGTAATATTTTCCAAAGCTAGATATTGTAAAAAGAAAATTTGAGAAAGACAATTTCACTGTAAGACAAATTGATTTACTTAAAAAGAAAGTTGTTTTCGCATACGAATATAGTAACAGTTTAAATAGTCTGACAGAAAATCAATTACCTTCTATCGAAGGATTTCATAGTCAATTAACAGTTAGTGGTACATCTATGGCAGATTATATCCACGCGTAAAATATTTCGAATACTTTTTAAATAAAAGATTTAGGTTAGTATTCCGGTCTTTATCAGAAAACAGACGTTTTACTATTAGCTGATGTTTTCGAAAATTTCCATACAACCTGTATGAATGCATATGATCTTGACCCAGTACATTATTTCACAACTCCAGGATTAACATGGGATGCTATATTAAAGTGTATAACTATCGAACTCGAACTGCTATTTCATATTGATATGATCTTATTCATTCAGAAAGGCATTCGTGGAGTTATTAGCCACTATTGTAACAGACATTCAAAAGCAAATAATAAGTATATAAGTTCAGAGTTGGATAAATCCTATTATTTGGAAGGGATTAACAAACTAGAGCAGCGTTGGATGAAGTGTATAAGCCTAAAAGGAGACTATGTAGAAAAATAAAAAAGGTTTATTAAAAAAAATCAAGCAGTTTTTTGCACGGACTTTTCAAACGGCCCTCGTAAATAGATTAACTTTAAACTCTTAAGATGCAATTCGTCACAATTACCACCCACTCTCTAATTACCTGCTGCGCAACGCACACTCTCTCTACTATACACGGCTAAGGCCTATTGAATGAGAGAGAGAGAGTGCAGCATCCACGGTATACGGACAACGTACGCTGCTAGAACGTACGAGAGTGAGAGAGAGAAAGAGCAGCATTCATGCTAAACAGTGTACGCGCCTAGTCAGCATATACTTTATCAAGCTAGAGACGCTATCCCCTCTCCGAGGGCCAACACTTAGCAAGCATATAACTTAATAAAATTTATTATTTTATTATTTAATATTAAGGGGAGGGCTTGGGGGGGGGAGGGGTACGACTATGTCAAAGAACGGCTCTGGGGGGCCGTCGTGTGGCACCATCCACTACCTGATCACCCAAGATGCGTGCGTAGTACGTGTGCGCGTGTGAGCATACCCCTATGTATGTTTCAAGCCACCTGGATCCCCATGAGGTGGCTTGAAAAATACATTGCTTAACTACTGATATAGTTCTTGTTCTCAATGTATAAAAGGAAAGGATCTTCAGATACACGTCACATTCAGATAAAGATCTAGGCATATCCGTGGAATCGTTGGTTTTTTGTGGAAAAAAATCTTTTTTATATGAAGGCACGTGGTTTTAATCAACATAGTTATATTTAATGAGTCCTACAAGTTGTAGATCTATCTGTGTGACTAATTTTTTTTAAATGCTCAACAATTTTCAATGGTATAAATCTAATTTATACACATATTATTTTTTTTATAGGTATGTCTAAATTTTTATCTCAATAGATTAACTACACTCCTCGCAAAAATTAAGGAAACAAAAAAATTTGTCAAATTTTTGGCTGATTTTCAACAGGCGGTATTTCAGTGAGAAATGGTCGTACAGGAAATAAAAAAAAAGCTGTTGAAACTTGAAGACTCTAGTTTTTAGTTTTTTTGGTTAAAAATTTTTTGGAGCTCCGTATTTAATGCAATCCTTATACTAAAACGATGGTGGGGCTTGCCCTTAAATCCACCCGTAGGATCCACCGATAATAGACGGGTATGCTCCGACTAGGTCAGTATAATTGTCAATCGACCTAGTGTCGATTGACCCGCGGAGGCGGTCGGGGTTTAATCCGTCGATTGAATTAGAGGTGAAGGATATGCAACGCAAATAAAGAGCTACGTTATAATAAAACGTTGGTAGATTTATTGTGTCAGCGACAATCCTTATACAATGTGCGACCTTCTCGCAGAGGTGCAATCAGGAGTTTCCGCCGAAACTCTGCGCCGCAATATAATTGATACCGCGTGAGAGAGAGAGAATGAGTCGTACCGTACTTACGAGCTTGCGAGTTTCGTCGACGGGAGGCTATCCTCCGGATCACCCTCGCACGTGGATCAGACGGTTTTACTTCGTGCCGTCGGCTGGTCAACGAAGGGCTCCGATGCTACGCGGCTGCAGGCCTGCTGGTCGAATCACGGAGGTGGTGAGACGTCGTCGCCTCGAGCGCAATATTCGGATACCGATGTGAACACGTCGAGCGTAGCGAGACGAAAAGCCGCGATGTCCGTTCGCGCGTTCGCAGGAGGTCTTCGCTATCGTGTTTCGGCAATCTTCGGTGATTGTCGGCTAATCGCTGTACTGTCTCTCTCTCTCTCTTTCGTCGTGCCGTATAATCGTGTGTGTGTGTGTCCTCACACTTGCGTTGGCTCTCGGCGCTCGCGATGTATGTAACTTGCCGTGTTACAATACAAAGCGCAAAAAAAATTTTATCCAAATTTTTTACATTTTGTTTCTTACTGTACGGGCATGGAAAAATTTGTTCGAGCTACGCCAATACATAAGTCTTTTAGCCTGTTTATTCAGTTTCATGCTGGTTTTCGCGGAGCTCAATTACGATCATTTGTCTCCAAGATTTCGAACTTTGAATGCAAAAGGATCTTTTTGCATTCAAAATTCGATATCTCTGGAACTACTGATCGTACAGCGAGCGGACACCGAATTTCATCATCTGCATAAAATTTTCGATGAAATACAGTCAAACGTTAGTAAAGAGAAAAATTTTTTTCCATCTCTAACATTGAATTGAAAAAAGTGAAAAAAAGTGACATTTTCCCCTTTTTTGGTTACTTGACTGTATCTTCAGTAATATGGGCGGAAAAGGTACGGTTAAAGAGAAATTTTACAGTATAATGTCCCCAAAGAACCCCCTAAATTTTTGGAGCGATCGGTTCAGCGGTTTTTCCCGACCAATTGATCAAAATTTATAAAAAATTAAAGGAACAAGGTTTTTGTTCCTTAACTTGAAGCAAACTTTTTAAAAATTAAAAAATTCCATTTTTTTTCGTCTGTTTACACAATTTTGTGTCTGTTTACGATTAATTTTGAAAAAAATTGAAAAAAAAACATTTTTTTTCAAAAATCAAAAAAATATTTTTCAAAAATAAAAAAACAATTTTTTCCACTGACTATAAAATATTGTTCTCTAGTGATTGATGACCGATTTACCGCGGGCATTAGCGTTATCCTAAGCATACCACGTGGAGGTTGTTCGGTCGGATTTATGCTTCTTTTGTGCTTACGTACGTGTGCGAATGATTTTTGGAAAGAAGAGACCCCATGGCTCATCAGCTCCACAGTATTTTACGACTCCAAACTCACTTTCCAAAGTGTGTGTGTGTGTGTATGTTTAGTATCGAGTATTTCCGCCTCTACTCTGAATCTCAGCTTGCAATCGCTGCCGCATATTCGAAATGCAATTGCGGATCATCCGTTGAGGAATCTGACGCCAAACTCTTATCAAAGCAATCTCTAATTCAGCTAAATTTCGGAGTTTTGGGTAACTCTGACGCAATCGGTGGCCCAAAATGTCCCAGACATGCTTAATTAGATTGAGGATCAGGACTCATTGCAGGATGCCTTAACAACTGAATGCCGTTTCTCTCGAAGAATCGACGAGTGATGTTCGCCGTATGAGGCCTTGCGTTATCCTGCATAAGAATGAATCTTCTCACGTTTCTCTATATTGGTAACACATGAGGTCTCAGAATCTGGTCAATATAACGCTTGGAATTGAGGTTATCTCGAACAATAACCAAAGGAGTTCGAGATCCTCGTGAAACTCCCGCACAAACCATTACTAATCCTCCATTGTAAGCGGCTACTGAACGCATCAAGCGTTGTGCATAACGTTCTCCTGTACGGCGCCAAACTCGAGGTCTTCTGTCGTTACCATACGGACAAAATCGAGATTCATCTGAGAAAAGAACATTGTTCCAGTTTCTCGTGGGCCAGTTCACATGGTTACGAGCATACTGCAAACGAGCTCTACGATGTGCAGCGGTCAACATCGGCCCACGAGCAGCATTTCGAGCACGCAGTCCAGCTTCGTGAAGGCGATTCCTTACTGTTGTTCGAGAAATGTTTCGAGGTGGTCTTTGTTGTTGTCGTTGTCGTTCTTGTTGTTGTCGTTGATGTTGTTGTCGTTGACGGTTGGGGAAGTTTTGGGCGATGATGTTTGCTGGAGCAAAAGGTTCTTGAAGGGCGTGTCGAATGATTGCTCGATCGTCTCGGCGATTCGTCTCTCGATGTCGGCCTTGTCCAGGGCGTCGCTCGAATCGATTTGTTTCCAGGTATCGGTTGTAGGCACGAGACACTACCGAGGGACTGACACCAAGTCGTTCATCCACCTGCCGATACCTATAACCCTCCTGAACAAGAGTTACTAGCTTAGCGACTTCTGGGGCAGATAAATGCAGCCTCGGAGGCATTATGAAAAAAATTAATGTTTACGAGAATCAAGCAGCCGTCAAAAAGTTCTTTAGAATTTTTCGAAAAGAAAAGTTTAATTTTGAAAAAAACTGTTGAGTGGTTTTTTACTAAAAAGTCGAAGAGTTTAGAAAAAGACTTTTTTTTTATCACGTTTTGGCTTCACAGGAGACGTTAAAAACTTATCGCGGAATTTCACAGACCGAGTAATGGATACGTCTTAGGGGTATCAACTTTGATTTTTTTTAAATCAATTTTTTTTAAGCGTAATTGAGGCTTGAATGTATCCATGACCTAAATGAATCAAAATGAGTGACTAATCGATCATTAATTTTTTTTCAGTAAAGAAATTGAAAATTATCATTTTCTTGGGTGTTGCTACACTATTGGATAGATATATATATATTAGACAACTAAAATCATAGGAACTAGCATTGTCTCGCGTGCTACTACAGCATTGTATAAAAAATATATTGGACCAGTTGATCTGATCAGATTCAGAGAAAAAGTGATTGGCCACATCACGAAGCGAATAATGTTTTGGACCAATTTATATTTACAATAATAATACGAAGTGAGTAATACTTTTTATGTAACCAAAAAAAATACTAGACATCGCGACGCGAAAATTACGCGTCTGAGAATATATATATATATATATATATATATATATATATCTCTATTCTGCTTAACTTATTTATGTTATGAAAGAGACTAGAATAAATATTATAAATGTAAACATCCATAAGTGTATCCATATGCTTCCCCACTACATTAAAGAGAATCGCTATTACATTTTTGCTTCTAATAAATAAGCGAAGAACGTTATAAACGTTCAATTATTTATTTTACAAAAACGATATCGAGTATCGAATTATAATTAACACAGATTTCATTATTGACGCGCGAACGGGCCGGGGTGCTCGAAAGCCTGACTACCGCCCGAGTCTAAGGCCGCTCGGCTGTTAAAAGAGCCTTCGTACGGGACAAACTCGTCTCGCGCGAGTTGTCACCTATCGATTGGTAGCAGAGCGTGGTTTTCAGGCTTGGTCTTTTCGCTTTTCCCTCGCGTTGATAACATTTTCGATAGTTTATCGAATAACCATATAAATTTATTTATATACGTATATTGGGTAGCACGAGTATTAATGTAATAAGTATTAATACACTATACTATTAGTATATATGTATTATTGATTAGTGTGTAATATATAGTATTACATAGTGTTAATATATTGACGCGTATTAATTAATATTAATACATATTAATTAATCCGCCGTCTTTTTCATCATTATTAATATTAATTTTTTTCTCTCATATCTCGAAACGCGATACGGGTGAATAGGACGCTCGTTCTTGAGCAAGCTAAAGCCACGCCGGAGACGCGGAAAAATTGATTTTTCACACGATCGGGCGCTCAGGAATTCATCGGAGTTTCGCTTTTGGTCGCGTAAGCGTAATCAGAGTCTTCGCGTCTGAAACCGGGTGCGTCTCTTTTTCCGTTCCTACATTTCATGATTAGTTGACGGAATAGCATTGGCAACGTGATCCTTTGCTTACAAATATTTGAAAGTCAAAACGCGGCTTAGGAAAATTCCCTTGATTTATGAACGATCGTTTAAAATATTCTGTTGTAATAGGGGACTGATACTTGGCATTATCCCGTACCATTCAGTTATTAAAATTTCCCTTAATTATTTTTATTTTTACTTTTACTACTAAAAGTATTTATTAATTTAAGAATAATATATTTATTAGGAATAATATTTTATTAATATAATTGATTTATTGTAACGGGGGGATAAATCTACAAAATGAGAAATTTATTTAAGAGAAAAACTCCCACGATGCAGAGCAAACCGCCGCTCCGTTAACACGTATGTTAATACGTGTATTCGCCTTAACGTCAGCTGACTTAACTTAGTTGTCTTCGATCAAGCGGAGTTGAACTCACCTTAAGTCACGTGCCTTGTGACACTCGATGAGTTTTAAGTGTAAGCGACTTTACTCCTAATTCACTTAATCCCCTAGCTGTAATCGGATTAAAACCTAAGCCATTTTCAATTGCTAAAACTACTAGGAAAATTATATGACGAAATCGGCGAATAAGTTGAACAGATTTTATTAATAAAAAATCTCTACAGTCTTTGTCGGGCCGAAAGACTGACGCACGCGAATAGGATTTACAATTAAATAATTTTCAGTAAAATTATCAACTGCCTCTGGTCCTGGATTATCAGCTGCGCTGCCTCGTACCGCCTATCAGCTGCAAATCTGCTCCTACCGTAACGCTGCAATCTGTTGATCACGTTGTTGCACTCGCGCGCGTAATTGTTCTGGATAAAACTATTACTCGGCGAGAAAAACAGTGCAAACAAAATTCGGCGATATCCACTCGTATCAACAGCTGAGTCGTAACTGCCAATTCAAAAGATCGCGCGCCCCCTCTCTCTTTCAATACTTAGAACTAACGCGCGAAAATCAGAATCGCGAACGGTTCGATTAATTGAATCTACTACCGTTGCATTATTGATAATGGAACAATACCAATTAATTATTAAAATAAAAACTTTATTATATAAATATATATATATAATAAATTGTTACTGATTGATAATAATAATTAGTATTTTGTTGATAATAATTATTTGAATAAATTATTATCTTGTTAGGAATTATTATCATTGTATTATCGGCTTTATTCATTTATTATTATTATTAAAAAAAAAAAAAAAAAGAGAGAAGAAAAAAATATAAGACCTAGGACCATAACGAAATGGAGTCGGCTACTCTACAGTTATTGACTAGTATGTCGGCGAGTTTTACCCTACAGAATATAGTACAAGGGATTACGGAGTTCGATGGGAAAACTGTGCCGCTCAAAGACTTCATCCAGGATATCCGCAATGGAAGAGCATTGATTACAGATCCACAGGAACAGAATTTTGTCCGCTTACTAATTGCTAAACTACGAGGACCCGCACGTGACTGCATTTATGGAAAATCCATTAAGGCAGTTGATGACTTAATCAGGATCTTAAAGGAACGATTCGCACGTTGCAAAGACTTCGCTTACTACAACTCCAAAATCCATAGCCTGCGTATCTAGCAAGGGGACACTGTTGGGGACTTTCATGACAGGATAAACATCCTTTTGAACTGTGCACAGAACGCGCTGAAAGAAGAGCTCGGAGAAGAGTACACTGAGACGATGATGACTCCAATGCGCAACTCAACTATTAAGACTTTCATAGATGGATTGACAAAAGAAATTGGAGACTTAGTGGACATTAAACAGCCTAAAACCTTGGAGGATGCTTATAAAGAATCATTGCGTATAGAAACAAGAAATAAGTCAAGGGCGAGGCATGGGGAGTTGAACCCTAATAAATGGACGAATTTATTGCGCAGCCTCAATGTTAACTTCGTTCAAGGTCAACAAAACGACCAAGAGGAACAATTAGAGGATGAGTGGGATGAATTACCCGCAGAAATCCAACAATTATTTGTACAGAGAAATCAAGGACAGCAATCGTATATGAATAATCAAGGACAGCAATCATATACGAATAATCAAAGACAGCAACAGAGTTGATCTCAAGGGCAGAAACCGAACCAAAATAGGAATTGGAAGCCTCGTTACAAAAATCCTCAGGACAGTGGACCACACGCAGCACGGTTGTATAACCCAGATACAGACTCTTATCATCCGTCTGGAAAACGCTATGGAACAATAGCTTACGACCAGTAGCAAAGAGGCGAGCTTAGACCTAATCCAAAGTACTAGCAACATAATTATGCAAGTAATTTAAACTCAGATGGGGCTCGCCCAGCAGTGAATGGAACGGGCCCCTGTCATACGTGCCGCCAGAATCAAGAGAAAGTTCAACCGAATGCAAAGACGATGTTGACCGAAATTCAGGAAGTATCGACGTCCGAAAAACCGGGAGTACCCCCAGCAAAAGTGATGACGATACTAAGAAATTCATAATCGTTAATGAACCAGTTATCGCAGTTGTCTCAAATTGGGGGGTCGGCACGGGAAATAATCAGATCTATGTGCCAACAAGAGTAAGGTTTCGTATACCAGAGACCAGTAAAAAGTGGACCGTGTTCATGGTTGATAATGGATCGGCCGTGAACTTAATTAAGTTTAGTGCATTAAATTGGACTACGAGGTTTGATCCGAGGGAGGTCACTACCTTGAGCGGTATTACGGCACACACCGTTCCGACCATAGGTACGGCGATATTAACGATTAATGGAAAATCCGCAAAATTCCACATAGTATGGAATAATTTTCCTATTGAAGAGGACGGGATGTTAGGCAGAGATTACTTGATCGATACCAATGCAGTGATTTCGTATTATCATAACAGCCTAATGGTAAATAGCGACGTAATGAACCCGATATCGTTTTTACCGAATGATGTTCCCATTGACCGATTACAAGATGACTTGATACAAGCTATGAGTATTAGAGCTCGTGAAGATGAGGTATCGGATATTGAAACTACAGCGGACCTAGACAGAGGAATAGAACGACTGGGTTGTAACGAAAACGTGAATAATAAGATTACAAATACCAAAGAGGGACTGCCGGTTGGCACGGTACGATATACATTAGCACCAAGGACTCGCCAAGTTATACAGATTAATTTACTGAAGAGCACACTCGCGGAAGGGTATTTACGTAGAATAAATGTGGCGGATGATAAAGTGTTTCTTGGGGAAGGCATAGTCATTAACGACCATGAGACCTGTAAGATTATGGCCATCAATACCCACGAGAGAGAAGTAACCATAGAAGTGGACCTAAAGGAAATTATTCCATTTGAATATTACAAGTCGGAATTCTCTAGTGACACGAATTCAGATCAGGAAGGTAGCCTTCAGGGATCGTGGACTATGGACCAACCCGAGAAACGGCGTAATCAATTATTGCAATTGATTAGAACAGGACACCTTAACTCGCACGAGCTTAAGAGTATTAAACGGCTGTTGAAGAAATATCCGAATGTGTTTTTACTCCCTGGAGAACCTTTACCATGTACTAACTTGATAGAACATGAAATACACTTAGAAAACAGAGTACCAGTTAATACCAAACAGTATAGGCATCCTCCTGTGCACCGAGAATTTATATCGGAACAAATAAAAAAACGCCTAAGGAAAGGAATAATCGAAGAATCTAACTCACCTTATAAGTCGCCGCTCTGGATTGTTCCTAAAAGCCCGGCAAGTGATGGCACACCAAGGTGTAGGATGGTCATCGACTTTAGAGAATTAAATAAAAAGACTATTGGTGATGCCTACCCTTTACCCAATATTGCTGGTATTCTAGATCAGTTGGGAGGTTCGATGTATTTGTCGACGTTTGATTTAATCAGTGGATTTCAACAAATTCCCTTAAGAGTTGAGGACAGGGAGAAGACGTCATTTTCAACTTTTGATGGACATTTTCATTATATCAGAATGGCGGAAGGACTAATGAACGCGCCAGCGACGTTTCAACGAATGATGAATGCGTTGCGGTGAGGACTACTGAATGTAGAAATGTTAGTGTATTTGGA